CAATTAAATAATTACGGATCTAACTATCTTAATTGGCATTAATTTGTTAAATTGAATTAAATATCAGGCCATTGATTTTCATGGAACAAAACAATCATAAGAAATTAAATTAGAAAACATACAAATATTAACGAATAAAAGAAATAGATAAAAATAATTGGATCTCACAGTTATGGTTGAACCAAATCCTTGGTTATCCTTTGACTAGAAAAGAAATTAGTTGTTCATCGCGTGGAAGATATCCAACGCAAAAGTGTGGAAAAGAGCAAAAGACATGTAGTTAAGAGAGAAAACAACTAACAAAATTCTACCGTTTTCCTCCCCCTTTTCTAAGCAAAGAGTCACACCCCCTTTTTGTTTCTTTCAGATGTGCTAATCAAGCCAAAGCAGGCTGACTCAATTCCTCCCTTTTTCCTTCTTTTCTAGCTACTACTAATAACAGAACATATTTTCTAATTAGAAAAAGAGACTACAAAGATAATATTTCATGTTTCTTAATTCAATACTACAACTAATAGAGATAACTTCCAAAATTTCAACCAAAGACAATCCAGAGTTTGACTCGAATTAGGAAACGTTAGCGCACGTAGAAAATTCTTCAGTCTTCTGGACTTAACAGCAGGTTCTGATCATGCCACCACCAAATTAGTTCATAACATGCTAGAAAATGCCCCTCTAGCTACTTTTTCACTCCATCCTTCTACAATTAACACCATTAACCAAATATAAGTAGAATCTATCAATTAATACAATATTTGGCAAATATCAAGAGAAAATATTCACAAATTTAATAACAATTATGCATCCTATCAATAAGTTAGCCATATCCTTATAGAAACCTGAAACCAGATTTCAGTAGGATTCAACTTCCTTACTTTAATACAATACTTATTTGGAAGATTTAAACTTATTTGCACTATAAATTCCTCAAGTTTAATTTGTCTCATAAATTAAACTATAAGTTATAAAAATTATCTTTCAAGTCCCCCCTTGAAATTTATTTAATCCAACTAAAGAAGTTATTAATGTGTGTGATCCGTTAGGTTTCCAAGCACATTGGCAAAAAGAACAAATCATAGTTCCTAATTAATAAGAGCTAAATAGATTAAAACTCTTTTAATTTATCATTGACTCATTTTTATAGATTAAGATTAACATCTAGCAATGCATCATGACCACCCAAGTAATGAGAAAGTCAAGTGGATGACTTTACCTTTCAATGGATGTTTATCATGTAATTAATATCCTTTTACTACAGTTATCTCATATTAATCATGAAATAAGTCATGCCAATTCCATTAAGTGATTAATGCTCTTTTCTTGTACGAGAAATATAACTCCAAAAAAAAAAAAGTAATTAGAAACACCTTTTCAAGACTTATTCACTTAGTACTAAAATTTCTTGAGTTATATTTCTACAAGTGGCCATAAATGGGATAACTCCTCTTTCACAAGAGGTGGTAAATCCTCAAAGGTTATTTACTACCTTTCTGTATTTCAAGTATATGCCCATATGTTAACGCTTTGAGTATTCCTTTTTACGAAAGCAAACAAATAACATAGAGTATAATGATCCATACTCAAGGTACCATGATAATCTTATGTCAAAGGATCACTTACATAAACGTCATTGAGATATTAATTCTTTCGGCACAAAAAAAAATATCTATGCAGATCAATCAAGTGAAGTTGATCATGCTATCAATCACTACTTCTCTAATGAAAGCGGTATAGTATATACTAGTCTAACTGTATTAACAATGTCCCAATCTTGTTAATATTTTAACGAGAGATATTTAAGAATAAATTTTATATTTAATCAAATGAACCTCACCATCATAACACTTATAACTTATAACTCATCATAGTTCTTATTTATTTAGAATTGTAACTTATACTTATTGCCAACATATATGAGAATTTAATAAAAAAAATACATGTAAAAACCTGTTTAGTTGGATTAAATGAATTTTAAGTATGGACTTGAAAGATAAGTTTTTTATAACTATTCGTTTAATTTATGAAATAAATTAAATTTGAGGGATTTGTAGTGCAAATAAGTTTGAGTCTTCCAAATACAAGAGTTGTATTAGTATAAGGAAGCTAAATTCTATTGGAAATTGGTTTGAGGTTTCTATAAGAATATGGCAAACTTATTAAACTTTTGCTAGCAAGACTAATCCTCACACAAATTATACTGTAAGAATTTTTGAGAAAAATCTTGAGAGAAAAATACCCAAAATTTGTTCAAGGAAATAAGAAAAATTTATATCTCTTATTTCTCTCACTAGGATGGGCTTTTCATAGTGAAAAACTTGGGTTTTTCTCAATCAATTTGTTTGATACATTTTGGCAATAGTTGCCACTAATCTAACAAAGCTAATTCAACCTAAGAGATTCTAATTTAAGGAGATTTGTGTGGATCATTGTTAGAAATTGGACACATGTGCGGCTACATGAATCAGTTTGCCTTTCTATGCATCAAATCTTCATCGGTATCTTCTTGAACTATATATCTCATGGATTTAATTAAAAGGACAATCTACTAAAGGAATAAAAAATTAAATTTCTCACTGTAGATGTTTCTATGATTCCTTACTCCCTAATGTGAAATCTGTTAGATGACACAAACAAAAAAGTGAATTCTACTAACCTTTTTCCTTCACTATTAGAAACCAAATGTGCTGGCAATTTCCAACAGAAAAAGAACGTGAAATCTATCTACCCAACTTTTAGGCCCTTCACCAGTAATGACGATCAAAAGGCCAAGTAAAGATGAATTATCCTAATTAATGTTGCCATTTACATTTTACTCCTCAAATGGTATTAAACTATTAACAATGGTAGTGTTGTGTCGAAGGGCATGTGGATGACTTTGCTTTCCAAATTATCTGGACAGCCCTCAATAGTTGCTTACTGTTTTCAATCCCTTTCTAACCAAGAATGGCAACATGGGGTTTTGCAGATTTTGACGCTCCTAGCTGAACAACCTGCCACGTGGCTCAAATTTGTGAATGGTAATAGTGATTTTGCCTTCATTTTTATATTTATGTCAGAAGTCAAATATGAGCAACTAGATTTAGCAAATAGGAGGTATACCAACGGGAATCATTTATCAAATATTTTTTCTCTATACATATAATCTTTATTTCTGAGCAAAACCTATATAATCATTACTAAAGTATTACTAAAGCATGGAAGCATATGAATAGCATCAATTCACCATTTTTTTGCTCATTTTCTTTTCCTTCTAACATAACTAGAGTTTCTACAACTTTAAGTTTGTAAATACGAACTATAATGTGTACATCTCATTAGCATCAATAATCAATTTCTTCATTTCTAATATTTGCATCATTGGTATATAAAAATAGTATCATTCTTGAACGTGTGTAGTTGATAAGTATTATAAAGTATCACATCTGCCTTTCTCTTCAATCAAAATCAATATTTAGGCAAATTAGTGACTACAAGAAATTCATATGAACAAGTATCATTTTCCAACATATGCAATTAACAAGCATAGACCAAGTAGTATCTTACACATCTTTCTCAACTTTTCTCTTTAACCAAAATTTTGCAAAATTTATGAAAAGAAGGACTACAACAAATATGCATATACATTTCTAAAATGATCACAGTTACTCTTTGTTCGAATTATTAAACCAAGTCCATTTAGAAATTTAGTATCTATTAAGTTTATTATTTGATTATTAGATTAATAATGGGATCAAAATTGGTTTAGCATATGACTTTGATTTTGTGTTGGTGTTAGAATTAAAATAAGTTTTATGATTATATTTGTCTACATAAGGACTTGAAGCCCATAGTTTTATTTGAGAAAAATATTAGTTCTATTGATACAATAAAAGTTTTAGTTCCTCCAAACATTGTTCTATTCTTGATTGTATTTTACTACACTACTGAATTTGGTGATTAAGTCCTTCAACCAATTTATTAGTTTTTTGGCTTACATACTTTTGAAGACATAATCCTTTATTTGTACAATTAAATATCTCCCGTTACATTTTTTCTACTAATATTCTTGTGTATGTATTTGAAATTTTAATATATGGTCTCACTACCATGTATCTTGTTTAGGTTGCATTGGATCGAGCTTTTTTTTTTTTTCTACACGAATATTTATATCAATGAAATCATCAGTTATTTAAAGTATTAACAACTATAATAGCAATATCCAATGTATGAACAACTATAATAGCAATATCCAATATAAAGTTTAAAAATCTTTTATCAACAACTATAGCCGGATAAACTCAAGCAATTAAACTAAATTCTCTATCTGAATTATAGGAAAAAAATTAGAATGAAGCAATTAAACTAAATTCTCTAGCTGGACTAAGGAGGAGGAGGCTTGTGGGGACTAGAAAATAATGTCATGTTCTTGCAGGATTTTTTTCAATTCGCATTGAATTACTATAAAGACTAGGGAGGTATGTGTAATTATACAAAATGCTGGGGATTGAGTGTCAGCCTTCCGCATCGTTAGAACAAATCTCGGTATCTAAAGATCAAAGCTGACGTGGTCAAATAGATCCAGAACATTATTTTCTCGTTGTTCTGATCTCGTCCATTAACCTTTCAAACCGGTTAAATATGACGACCGTCCAACCCCTCCGTCCACGATTTTCAAGAATTCATAGTTCTTGTAATTGAAGTTGAGAGTTTCAATATTCAAAAATCCCCTAAAGACGGATTAAAGGCTAAAACGTCTTTGTCAGGTTTCTAATTCTTCTTCTTTGTCCTATGTAATTATTTGCATCTCTTGCACAAGTTTTTGGATTCATTAGAAAATTTCGAATGGCGAAAAAAATCTCTTGTTGATTCTTTTTTCTTTTTTGCTGTTATTTTTTTGAGTATTATTCATCTTAATACATGGTATCATGGAGTGAAGTTTTCTTGTTATTGTCTATTTGTATTTGCAGATGGGTAGTATTGGATCAGTAAGAAGTTTGACAAAAACGATAATAATTACTACAATGGTGGTTTTAACAACATTAGTAAAAGGAGGTTTTGGGATCAGATTTGTAATAGATAGAGAGGAATGTGTATCACACAATGTTGAATACGAAGGAGATACCGTTCATATTTCTTTTGTTGTCATCAAAGCAGATGATCCCTGGCATTATGGAGAAGAGGGTGTTGATCTTGTTGTAAGTGAATTATTTCTTTCTTCTGTGATTTTTATTCGTTTGCTGACAATTTTCAGTGGGAATTTTTTTAAATTTTACTTTTCTTTAACCTTTATAATGCTCCCCTCAGATTTTGTGGTCCATTTATTCTAAAAGGTGCATGGTGCTTGATTGATAGGATTATGTTAATTTTTCTTTATTTATTTTGGTTAAGCATTAGTAGGATTATGCTTGTTGCAGTATGATGTAATTGGACTGCTCATAACTTGAAAAAAATATGGCATTAAGTTTCTCTAGATCAATAGTCAAATTCATAAAAGTTGAATAATTTATAGTATGTGCACTTGACCTTAGTTCCTCGAACATGCTGTTATTCTGGTGGTTTTTGTGTGTCAAATTAAGTCATTGAAGTAAAGCTTTTTATGCAATAAGGCAGTGAATCATTATCAGACATGGTTTAAATTGAAAATTGGATTTGAATTTGTTATTTGTAGAAGTTACTTTAAAATGCCTGTGATCCTCATTTGAGACTAGGACTAGTTTTGGATTCACCAAGAATAGGAAGCAATGACAGGTTTATGCTACTTTCATCCCTGGTGTGGTCAACCATCTTGGTCTCAATCTTGTAAATTTAGTAGCATATTTGAATCAGAATGGTTTGATTTTTAACCCTGATATGTAATGCTACCTTGTAAGATTCATGCATTCTATTTGCACATGGAACTCTATAGTGAAGATTCTTCACTTTTAGATTATCCTTTTTTATTTTCCAAGAAAGATACGTGCTTTTGTAGTGGTTATGACTAAATTTATTTAGGTTCAGTCATTAATATCTCTAACCTGAAAAAATTTCAGATACTGCATAACTGCATTTTGTATATGTATAATCGGTATATTAAGGACAAGACTATGGAAGATAATGCTTTGATGAATTAGATGAGGGAAGAGTATTTCTTTAGTCTTCTTGTTCTATTCAGTGATCAACATTCTCTACTCTTGGTGCAAAAAACTTTGTTATCCTTGCTAGAAAAAGTCTCAGTTCTCCAGCTGGTTGCCTTCACAGGTGGAAACAACTAGCTTGAATTATATCTCTGGACCTTTTTTTTGGTTGAAAAAAAAGTCATTGTGTCCAGAAAAGGAATATAAAATGCTTTCTTTGAAGTTGATCAGGATTGTACCAAGAAAAAAGGAAAGCAAAATAGAGGATCATATAGTTTTTTTATGGTTTGGTCCTCTTCATGGATTTTGTTGCAAATGACAATTCCCTATTATGAGTTGTTGGAGAATTACTAAATAGTAGGCATAATTTACGAACAAGGTATTGTTTGCCAATAAAATGTATGTAAATTCAAATTAGCTAGATAGATTGGCAGATTCGTTTCAAAAGTTTATAAATGCTACTTCTGAGTCTTTCAAATTTTCCCATAGGGTCTAAGATACCTTTTTCAGCAAGGGCACAAATTAGAGTGATGTTGTGTAGGACTGTGCCAGGTCAAAAAATGAAGAAGTGTACTGTAACCATTAAACAAGAGAAATAGAAGTTCATTGTATGAAAGATAAACACTTTTGCATCTCTTTCCCTTTTGTTCTTAATCTCCACTAAGTATTGTTCTTGGGATTATCTGAAATGTCATTTTTTTTAATTACAATAGTGCTTTAATGTTAATGCTGCTGATGAGAATGAAGTAAAAAACATGAGGGACTGGAGTTCTAAAATTTTAGTTCAGCTACATCTTTGTTAAGTGAATTTAGCTCAAATTACTGCCTCATTTTCATCTTATTTTTCCTCCTTTATTGGGTTTTGGGGATTGGGGTTGAAGGAAGAAGTAGAGTGGGTTCATGACGTGGAATTGCTTAGAAAAATAATAATGTGGTGAATGACCAAAGTGTCTGTAGACTATAATACTATATAAATTAGGGACTCTACAAGAACATCAGGTCATAGGCCTCATAGGTCACTTGTGGGACAAGCACACCCTATGCACGCGCAAAGTGGAAGTTACTAGAAATTATAATAAATGGTTTATGTTTGGTAGATAGTATTAAGTAACACTTAATGAGGGAAAAAATAAAAATTTAAAGTATGACACTAATAGTATGCACCAGAAGCCTCCTCTTACTTTACATATTGTATAGATATAGATTTTTTTTCCTATTTTTAGGAAAAAGACATCACTAAAATTGATTGTTGAAAGTATTTATAAAGGATCAAGCAATGTCAGAAGGCAGTTTGACTATGTCTTTTTCTTGTTTCTCTTTTTTACTTCTTTTGGTTTATTTAGATTTTATCAATGATTTTGCTATCATCTTCTAATTTTAGATAAAGGGCCCTTCTGGTGAACAAATTCAAGATTTCTATGACAAGATCAGTGAGAAATTTGAGTTTATGGCTCCAAAAAAGGGCCTTTACCGGTTTTGCTTTACAAATAGGTCACCTTATCACGAAACAGTAGATTTTGATGTGCATGTTGGCCACTTTCCATATTATGAGCAGCATGCAAAGGATGGTATGAACTCGTGGATCTCTAATTTCTCTCTATCTTTATTCTTAATATTTAAATCTGTAAGCCATGACCTATTTATTCCTTGGATGCTTTTTCTCCAGAGCATTTTAACCCCTTGCTTGAGCAAATCTCAAAGTTAGAAGAAGCTCTGTACAACATCCAATTTGAACAGCATTGGCTAGAAGCACAGACTGATCGTCAGGCGCTAGGTAATTATGTGATCAACTATCAGTTTAGTTCCCTCCTATCATTTCCCTACCATTTTGCATGATCTTTCTTCTTGGATTGTAGTGCCATTTCATTCGGACCTCAAGCTGTTACATAGTTCAGCATGGAAACACAAACTTTGTTTCCCTCAAGGTTGTTTGAGAAAGAGGAATAAACTCAGATATTAGATAATAGTAACCATATAAAGAGGTTAAAAGAAAGGGCTCCCAAATGAGCATATGACACAGTTAGAATTCTCCTTCCCTCACCTTCCTTTAAGCCTGTCATCACTATAATCACCAAAAGGCATGTATTTTATAGTAATGGTCCTACTGGTTACACTTCAAGTACTATCAGCAGTTTGTTGATCCCACCATAAGTGAACAAGCACAACAGAGCCACATTTCACTTGATTTGCAAAGACCTCACCTGTAACTTGTGATCTCATTTGGTTTTTTTGTTAATAAAGAGACAATTGCATAAATAGTAACTTAACCAGGATCCATTGCAATCATCCCGGGAAATTTACCCCCTTAGAATAGAAACCAGCCTGATACGGTGCACACCTCTCGAAGGACCACATAATCCAGGCCTTTGCCCAAGTTACATGGCCCAACTCTCCACTTGGAATGGGCAGGCCAACAAGAAGCTACACCAAACCCTACTGTCTTGAGTGGAGTAGCTCCTTGCTAGCCTACTTGTTCAAAGTGGGATTATGTGGTCCCTAGAGAGGCCGCGTTAGGCTGGTTTATACTTAAATGATAAATCTGGGTGAAAGCATCAACTGAAATGCTATTAATTGCTGTGGTGGCATAGTTCTTTTGTTTTGAAAGCCACAAAAGAGGAGGGAAAAAAATTTAAGCAATAGCTCTTGTTACAGTCATTTCTTTTTTGTGATCAATCGATTCATCTGATCTTTCTCTGGGTTCAAATATCATTTGCACTATTGGAGTATGTGATTGTCATTCTCTATGTATTTTTCCATCTTATATAAAAAAATAATAAATAAAAAACTTTTATTTTTCTTTTGTGCTTTTGCCCCTGCTCCTTTGCCAAGTATATCTTCAATTCTCTCTCTCTCTGTTTCTGACACCTATGCACATACACTGAGGCTGATGTAGACATGTACAAGGGCATAAATGTAGTTGTAACTTGATTTTGACTTTGGTGCTTGATTCTATATGAAGGGATGATGTAAATAATTATACTTTTTTGGCATTTTTTTTGAAGTTTCACTATGAGGAGAATCTACATTGAATCATAATTAATATTAGATTCATTGTTGATTTTTGAATTACAGTGAATGAGAACATGAGCAAAAGAGCAGTCCATAAAGCATTACTCGAATCAATTGCACTTATTGGAACCAGTGTTCTTCAGGTTTACCTGCTACAACGACTATTTGAAAGGAAACTTGGAACATCTAGAGTTTAAATGATTTTTTTCCCTTTTATTGTCTTCATGGGCTTGGAACTGAAATTGCTGTTCTTTGGTTCCTTATTAGCTTCATATTTTGCAGTTTAATTCATTGGGTAGCAATCCGAAAACACTATACAACTGATGCTCGTTTGTCTCTAATCGTTATTCTTTCAAGCTAATCTTGGATGTGTTAATAGTTTTTCTTTTTCCCTCTTTCTTTTTGCATTTTTCCTTTCACAGAAGTAACATGTTAGGTGTAACTGTGCATGTCTGCACAAAATAGTGGATCTTGTAAGTGGGAATATGTGTGATGACCCCATCTTCCCTTAGGGCTTAGCGAGTCGCCTGCCCAACTCTCGCCAGGACTCACTCGCTCGTAGCTCAAGAATATAACTTACATACAGAGAAACTAAATAACACCACAAATTCAAACTTGATGTATCCATTGATGTTCAAACTCAGATACAAGGCTTCTACACACCAAAATGCTTTAAAGTATTTACAATTCAAGTACAATCAACCCTAGTCGGGTGCTAGCATGAGTATAATTTCAAAAGTCAAAACAACTGGACTACGCTAGTCTTTACAAGTCTCACGTCTCGCTCGTACTCCCTGTAAGGAAAACAAAACTAACAGAGTGAGCTAAACCTCAGTGATGTTCCAAATAGCAAATTGATCATTAATTAACAGTGAATGGAACATAATAGTGAAATAACGAGCATATCAAGTCAAGAAAATAAGCAATACATTTTGTATAGCCAACATTTCATATTCAGTATTTCACGTAAAAAGATACAGTTACTTTTATAAACCAGTTCCACCGTAACTTGATCGTATAGTAGTTGACACTCTGTCAACTTTCAAGTAAGGTAACTAGTCCAGTAGTACACCACTTAACTCCAATCTCCGTTCACCAACCAAACCCCTTACCCGAACTCCAAGATAAACACTGGTGGTAATACTCGAGTATACCGATTAGTCGAGAAGATAACACTCCACTCGACAACACTAACTACCTAGGGTTCGTTATCTAATCGACCAGACCTTTGCCGGCTCGACTCGATTAACTAGTCACAGGGTTTCTGGAATTCCAGATACAACTCATATTCATGTATATCAATTCAATTGAAATCAATGAATAGGAATAAATCACATTAGGGCAAGTGCGATAAAGTACACTCTTGCCCTATCAATCCACTCATATAACATGTAATCACATTGGTCAAGTATTAAATACAAGTGTCAAGTTCAATTAGGTATTTGGAAGCACTCACCAAAGATGTAGTGCTTTTACAGATCACGTCCAGGTAGTACTCCTGGTTTGGAATCCAAATCTGCAATAAAAGATCGTTTAAGAGTTTTGAAAATCGACTAAGGTTCAAAATTTAAACGTTTCGTTTAACGAGAATCAAGTAATTGAAACTCATTTGGAAAATATTTGTAAACTCATGCTCGCTTTTAAAACTTTTAAACTTTGAAGCAATTAAATGTATTTCTATTAGTTGTTACTTTCATTTTCCAAGGGTACAAGTTTCGGTCGAATTCTAACTTATATACCTCTACAAAAGAGGACTCGAATAACCTAGACAATTCAAGTTAGATTCGTCCTCAAATTTTGCTGACTTCCAATGCTAGTAAGACACTTGGTACCTGGGCCATTTCAATACATCACAAGAATCACCATTTGATAAATTCTCGATGTAATAAAACTCAACTTTGCTATGCAAACTACATTAAATCTTCTTAACTTCCAATGCTAATAAGATATTTGGGTATCCGAGTAATTTCAATAAATCACAGGGATTGTCATTTGATAAACTTAAAGGGATAAATGAGACCATGAAACACAAGAAAAATATTTTATTCACACAAAAATGATGAAAATCCAAGTAGCATGAAAACAACGATTTACTTTTATTAAGAGAAAATTGATTTTAAAGAAATGAACCTGTACACTCAAAAAATTTATGTTTGACGAACTAAAACACTTTGATTCTCGAACAAAATGTCACTTTTGACCCTTTGGATATTATTCCTCTAGAGTTCAATGCTTAGCGACCGATCCATAATGTAAAGAGAAATTCCAACAAACTGATCTTCAGCCATTCCATTCCAAGCTCACCTTTCCTTATAAAACCCTACCTTAGCGCCCTTTCGGGTTTTCACTAGGGTTACCCCCACCTTTTTATTTTCATCATTTCTTTCCTTTCTTCTTTTTCTTTTTTCGCTTTTTCGTTCTTTTTCCTTTCAAAGGTACCCTTTCAGATTTTCACTAATAAACTGATCCTACCGATAGCCTTTATCAACTCAGAAATGTGTTTTAAGAAATGATGGCATCAGTGCGACTATCTTTCCCTTGCAAAATTGGTTAAAGTGTATTGACATCATTTGTCAAATGATTTAGAAAATTTCTTGACAGAGATATTGCAAAGAACAGAAGTCAGAACTTTTGGCTTTTGTAATGGGGTCTGGTGGGGTGCTAAGAAAAGTTAAGGTTTGAAGGCGAATTTTCAAAAGTGGTTTAAATGATCTGAGATCGCATTGTTGCGCCAACCCTATTTTAGGGTTAAATCAAAAGTTGGCCCAATTTATTCTCAACTGAGATTCTTTTTTTTTTCATTTTTCCTTTTTCTTCTGTCATTCTGTTCATCTTTTGAAATGTTCACAATTTGCTCCAATTTATTTTTAACTGAGGTTTTGTTTTGTTCATTTCCTTTTCTTTCAGCTTTCCTTAAAAAAATTGAATTTGCCCCAGTGTGGGGTTTTCTCTCTCTTTTTTCAAAACTAAATTTGCACCAGTGTGGGGTTTGCGATCCTCAGGGGTTGCCAAACAAAATAATTTATTCTGAAGGCTCAAATGGGATAACTAAGGATATAATGTCTCAATGGGAAAGGAAGAGGGCCTGACTTTCATTCCATTCTTCGCAATAACCCTAAAAGAAAACTTTCGTTTATCAGATAAAGAATTTCTTACACATATTCGAATTGATCGGTTGAGGAAAAATTGTCTATTCCACTTCTGTGAGAACGAGTGCTCCACCAGCCAATACCTTTTGACAATAAAAGACCCTTGCCAATTTGGGGCAAACTCTTCTTTCGGTCTCATCTTGCATCGGCAAAAGCTATCTTAATGCCTTTTCTCCCCATCTGAATAGTCATGATTTGACCTTTGATGATATAAACCATGACGGACTGCATTTAGCTACTTCTTATCAAGTGACCTCTGCTTTATTTTCTTAATCTTGATCCCAATTCGGCTTGAGTTTCCTTTTATACTATTCGGGTCTCTTCGAAACATTTTCAGATGTCCCTCATTCCTCCTTTCATTTCGAAATTCAAATTCACATTCGTGAGTTACCGAGATTGTTGCCATCAAATTTCGGAACAGTGATATCCGAAGGGTCAGAGAATTTTATTCTTGGTCATTTGAAAAGAATGCGTAAGTAACACAGTATATAGAAAACTGTACATTTTATTGAATTTCAAGATAAAGATCAAACCTAATAGTATGTTACTTGTTAGACAAGACGTGTCTTCAAAAGTCACTTGATTGAAAACTATTTACAAGAAACATGGTTGAACAAAACACACGCATGAATGATTTTAATGGATTTAATCAAAGAAAACTCCCCAAGTTTATCGAAATTCCCTTCAAGAGGGAAGGATTTCACTAGTTCGGGATTTTCAAATATCCTCATTGGAGGTGGATGCCTCAAAGGCGTCCTTGTGTTTGGGAAAGGGATTTGTACTTATGCTTGGTCCTTGTTCACCCTTTTTCCTTAGCACTATTTCTCCGACTTCGATCATATCTTGGATTTTATGTTTCAATGCCAGACAATTATTGGTGGAATGCCCGGGAGCTCCAGAATGATAAGCGCAGACGGCTTGAGGGTCATAGTTAGAGGGAAGACGCTTAGAATAGATCTTAGGAGGTATTGTACCAATTTTCCTTGCGACTTTGAGCTGTTCATATAATTGATCAAGGGGCTGACCTAGATTGGTGAAAGCTCTACATCGAGTTGGGTTTCGGGTGTTATTGGTTTGTTGATAGTTGTAGTTCTGGTTGGCGGGTGAAGTGGGTCTTGGGTTATAAGGAGGGCGAGGTCTAATCTGAAAATTAGGTGGGAAAATGTGAAATAGGGTTGCGGGTGTGTTTGGATAATTTGGTCGAGATCGGGGGTGGTTAATAGTGGAATTGTAAACAGGTCGAGGGCGCGGTTGGTATAGGTAATGGCGTGAGTAGGCGGGCTATTTTTGGTATCTAGGTCGGGAAAAAGAGCCTTGGTTCTAGACAAAGGAAGCTTCCTCGTCTTTCTTCTTGAATTGAGATTTTTTACTACTGCCGCTCTGACTCTGCATAGCTTCCAATTGTGAGTTTAAAGCTGACACGTTAACAATCTTTCCTGCCCTCATAAACTCATCATACTTTTCTAATTTATTAACAATTTCTGCGAAGGAACACCCAGTTATTCAAAAAATTTCTCAAAATAGGGCGGGTCATGAGTTTTGATGAACGTACTGTTGACCTTGGTTGATCAGTCCTTGGTTTTGATGATTAACAAACCAAAATGTAAATTTGGACTAATGTTTTTATGTGAGAAATTTGTTAGAACAGGTCATTGATCCAAAAGAGAATCAAAAAGATTTGAATCAAAGAGAAGTTAAGAAATATGAATGTTCGGACGTAGAGGATCGGACGCTCGATAGAGGATCGGTCGTCTGACTGACGACGATACTCTTCGGACGCTTGGATTGGACGCTCATTCATTGCTTCGGCCGTCCGACACAAAAAGAATGAACGTTGAACATTCTGACTTCTATCGGACGCAGGGTTCGGACGCAGAACAAATGGTTTGGACGTCCGATAGGTGGTTCGGACGCATGGTTCGGACGCAGAGCAAATGGTTCGGACGTCCGACAGGCCAACGGCTAGTTTTGACAGCATTTAATATTTGACCGTTGGAGAGTCTTTTGGAGCCATTTCTCACCTTCTATAAATACCCCAAAGCACAAGA